TGGGTGGGATATTCTGTTGCGGTGTGCTATCAAGAGGATGAGAGGATGAAACATCTCCCGTTCACGGCCCCCTTGTTGGATGCCCACGCATTTTAATTCCATTCGGAATAGTAACTTTTAAATTCGGAACAGAACATGCAGTGTAGAGCGGTTGCCACCCGATGTACAAATCAGTGTTTTGATTTTCTCGGACAAATTTAGTAAAGGTAAGCGATTCCGGAGGGATCGTTTGGCGCGGGTGAGATTCGATCTATGATTAAGCTAGCGGCCATGCGCTTGGTCCGCTAAGCCACTCCCACCATGTGCAAATTATGCCTTTGTATATTTGCAGAACTTCATGAAGTTGCAGAGCTTGTTTCAGATGAGGTTTACGGCGATTCATTCGATGATGCTACGCCAAAAACGGAAAATTCACTACCGAATCCGACGAACCCCTATGCAGCTAGTAAGGCGGCGTGTGAGATGATTATACGCTCATACTGGGTGAGTATTGGCCTTCATTTTTTATGGGAGCCTATGTTTTCCTGTAGCTCAATTTGTTGATCTTTCCTATTGGATAGATTTCCGTTAAAGCTTATACTGCATTTTGAGACTTCATATTTCAGCATTCCTACAAGCTACCATATGTAATGGTCCGCATGAATAACGTGTATGGACCCCGACAAGCGTGTACAAAATTGATTCCGAAATTCACAAAGCTGGCATTGGAGGGAAAGCCGTATCCGCTGATGGGGGACGGCTTACACACAAGGTTGTTAATGCTTTATTTTTTTTGCTCCAATTAAGTAACGCATTCTCACAAGGATCTTCTGTTGTTGACAGCTCTGGAAATCTGCGAGCCTGTGAGCACTTCATTGAGCCACTAAGCACTTCATTCTATGACCGGTAGTTAGATGGAGACACCAAAGCGCGGGCAACTCATGCACATACGAAACAAGCTGCTAATTTTCCTGTCTGGTACCATACACAAAATAAGTGCTGCGGTCGTAACATAGGAGCGGCAAGCTGTGGTAATGGGCATGGGACAAAACAAATTTGTATCTCTACCCAAGTCTTTAGCGTCACGCTTTTGGCAGGTGCAACTGATCCTTTTCACGAGAAGGTGATCTCGACTTCACTTTTCCCAAATTCTTCCAGTGCTTATTACGGTCATCTTATTGCGATAACAGGTTCGTTGACACGTGCGCAATCAAATTGCTGTGGGTAGGACATTACGTGATCACCAATGTGTGGTTTTGCGCCGGATGTAAAAGTTGAGTTGCAAAGTAGACCGTCGGCGTAGAAAGGAAACCCATTGGGAACAAAATGGCCTATTTTTGGGGGAGCTGCATGCGCTACCACGAAGTTGCGTTGAACTTCGAGATGGGAGAGCAGGTCAGGAAGTATAAGGGTGTGGGGCGGAGCCACCCCGTAGATCGGGTAGTCCCCACGTCGCTACATCGAACGCTGCACCGCGAGCGACCAGCTGCCGCTTACTTTGGCTCCAGCGACAGGGCTTTAGCGCCCTTGCGGCGCACTTTTCGAGCTGCAAAAATGGAACATCATAGATTTCCGAAGCTTTCCTGTGTCAAGTGTGGTGTTTGGCCCATTTTAAATATTCGATGGATGGTGTCGATTGTGTAGCTGAAGGTGATTCCATAGTGGCATATGAGAGCGGTCAATTTCCGCCGAGGAGGGTTCTCCGCACAATTCTTTTTCTCTATAGGAGATATTCTTATTGACTGGAGACTTTTTTTTGGATGTCATGACCTCAAAATTCAAGGATGCTTCAAGAAACAGAAACCGAAATCACATAGCAATCATCTAATATATTGAAAGCGAATTTTCAGAGTGCAGCAAAGAAATTTCACGGATAGCCGTTATTCGAAGCCGTACCTTTTGACCGCTACTTTCGCGTCAAAACTCTGCTTGCGCATAATTGTCAAGCTGTTCTCTCTATGCCATTTCTAGCAAAAAATAAGACCGAACGAATATTTGGTCATATAGATCCTTAAATAAACGGAATAACCTTTCTTCGCTATCCCGTCGTCAATGAGAGCGTAAAAATGTGTAACGCTCGCCGCAGACTAGGCAGGCGGGTTGATCACTTGCACTGTCCTACTCGAAAATTGGGCCTGACTCTACATAGACTTATTGCGAATGTAGCCTCTGGTTTTCTGAATTAAATTTAAATAAATTTTATTTAATAAATTCCTGCTATTCTCTCTATGCCATCATCTCATATACTTGCCCTAGCTTATTAGCATTGAAGAGAATGTTTTTTGTTTGTTAATTGAGTATTAATTTCCATTAGGAGCTGGATGTACGTGGAAGACTGTTCGGAGGCAATCAGAAGGGTGGCCGAAGATGGCCAACTTGGAGAGGTCTACAATATCGGAACGGATTTCGAGATAACCAATATCGAGCTGACAAGAAAGATACACGATATTGTCAACAAGCTACAAAAGCGGTTCGTTTGCTAAATCTATTAATACTAGTAATACTAGCTAGTAATCGATCGTTTGTAATTTAACGGCTAACCTTTACAGCGTAAAAGCAGTATTCCTGATAATCCCTAATTTTTTTTTGCAAAATATTGCAACTTGGTAGTTTTGATCTCCCTAAGTTCACTGATGAAACCATTTGAACGCTCCAAATGAAGCATTTTCGTAGAAGACGGTCTTCAGGAGAGACCGGCCGTATCTTTCGGTGGTTGTGGGTTAAGTCGTTAGTTCGTTACTTACTTCAAAAACTTAGGCGAAGGCTCAACAGGTGGCTGGTCATCTGTGGCTGCCCACTTTGTAGCCCAGCTCGTTTCTTTTAAATAGCCCTCGACTTCCAACACCGCGTCTCTGGCGGAGAAGTATGGGAGGTGGGATATGTGGGAAAAACAGGATAAATATAATAAACAGCTAAACCCTATTTCAATCTGTGCGTTAGCCGAAGTCCGTTGTTAACAGAAACTGCATTCCAGAAAAGCGTCGCCCCCTTCCTTCATGCCCATACCGGATCGGCCGTACCACGATCGTCGATACTACATCGACTTCTCAAAAATCAAAAAGGCAATGGGCTGGCAGTGCACGACACCGTTCGAAGATGGCTTGATGAAAACAATCGACTATTACGTGAAACATCAAAAGCACGAAAAAGTCACATCGCGTCTTCACGGTTAAGACGTGATTGCCCTGATGCGAAATTCGGATACATCATTTTCGGCTGTATCTTGAGTGATTTGAGTATTTATTCCATATTCTAGCTAAAGTATTTGAATTTCGCATTTCAGGGATATAATGTGTCATCAAATAGGTTGTATTGATTATAGATTTGAACGTATTCGCCATGTTCCTTCCGGTTCCCTTTTTGTGCCTCGTCATCGCGTCTCGCCGCACGCGTCCGCGGCGACGTCGCGAAGGCGATGCGCCTCGTTGTGAATATGTGGTGCCCCTATCGTAATGTAATTTATTTCATTCGTCATTCATTGAGGTTATCTTAATTGAGTTTGTTCTTTTAGCCGCTTTTTTCTTCGCTTGTCTGTATATTTGTCTGTATTGTCTGTATCTAAGGTATTAAGGCATACGTTTGGCGGCAAACTTTATTAGCTTTTCATCATTGAGGCCACATTCCACGATGATTTGATAGACCAATCCATTCCGTGAGTGCCAGTAGTATGGACAAACCTCTCAAATCTCCCTTATGGAAGCTCAAAAATGTGCGACAGCGATCTACGTAGTGATGTCTGCGTCTTCTACGTCCCTTATGTTCCCTGGCCAATCTCTCGCCTAGGCGACGACTCCCTGTTTGTCGTGGTATTTCCACTCACCAATAAGGAGAGAGCCTTACTTTGCTGTTTATAGCCCTGTTTTTTTCATTGACCCACTTTACTCTGCTACATCTTCGAACACAATAATCTCACCCAGAACTGCGCTCAAATAGTCGTGAAATGTGTCTTTAAGTGGATGACCATTGGCTTGTTCACTCCTATTCGTGCTTTCATTGATCTTATCGGTGGTGTCTGTGAACGTCTTTCTTCATTTTTTTTTCTATTTTTATGTTTAGTGTCAGCTGGCTTGTGAAGGTATTTCTTCTAAACGTATATGGGGAGGTGAGCCTTGCTAATGCCACATTACAGCATCTATCTCCCGGCCTCCTTATCTGATTCGGTTGTTCTGCTTGTCTCTCCTGGGAAGGAATACCATTGAGCTCCACCATGGTATAAACTTAATGTGTTTTCAGCAGCTGATTTTTGATACACAGCTGAACGTCAATCAACAAGTAAATCATGTCTATTGTGATGCTCATCGAGTTCATGAAAGAGCGATAAAAATATGAGCGATAAAAAGTGTTTCTGAACCACAACTTCTATACATATCAACAATGAAACTGTACACGCATGTGTCGAGTGACCGGAAACGGTGCACCATGGCCGGGAATAATCCACGCTGCTTCACAGATCAGGTTTCGCCTCGATCGCGCTTGCTCCGTCTCGTTCGCACTCAGCGGCTTCCACATCATCGGGTAGTCGAGGCTCTTCCGTCTCATAATGGGTAGCTAGGCGAGGCGCTGTAGTTTATGGTGATTTGCTAAATCGCTCTCTGTGGTTTTTGCCCAGCGTGCTCGACTGTTATCAGCTCTATCGGTGCTAAATGTAAGCGTTGTCCAGATTTCAATCTGGAGTACGAGGTAAGCAAACCAGCCCTTTTGGCGTTTCTGCTGGGGCCGTATGCTGAATGTTGGAGGAGGATGGGGTCCCGAGGTCGACGGACTACTTGAACTCGGTCGGTACGGTAGGAGAGTGATGACGAAGTGGTGCAGCTAGGTCCAGCAGCTCCGCCAAAAGGGCTGGTTTGCTTACCCAGGACTAAGCCTTGGAGAGAGGACGGACCTGCGCCCGACCTCTCTTTAAGGCTTAGTCCTGAGGTAAGCATCAATTGAGGCGGTTTTAAGAGACCGAGTTGAAGTAGTCCGTCGACCGTCGGGGACCCCATCCCCTTCCCCAACATTCAGCATACGGCCCCAGCAGAAACGCTGGTTTGCTTACTTCGAGTTTTACGGAACTTCAGACAACATTGACTCTATGAAAGAATGAATAGATGCGCTCTAACGCGGAGGTAGTGCACGCGATATTCAAGAGGTGGCTGTTCAGGTGAAGAGACAATAATAGTATTCAGGAATCCATAGACCCATAATTCGCGCGTTCCTGCTTTGAAAGGGGACCGGTCGCGACAAATTATGTTAGAGATCGAACTATTTATAAGTTGGAGAGAAACCAGAGCGCAAGGGGAAGAAGAAACAGAGAGAACACTTCTACTTGGGAGTGCAAAATCATAATAACTGCGGTTACTAGAATAGGCAGACGCGCTCCAAACCCTAGGATATTAGCTCCGTTGTCGCGCACTTTCAAAATGGGACGGTGCCACTACCCGATTCAATAATGGGTCCTGCTTCTTCTTCTTCTCCTTAGCGTTAGTCCCGCGCAGTCGCAGGGTCCGCTGTCTTTGTCAGTCGTCGCCACTTCGCTCTGTCTAGGGCATCTCCTGCAGTGGCCGTGATTTCACCTAGGTCCTTCTTGATCACATCCTTCCACCTCTTCTTTGGGGCTCCTCGCGGTCGCTTGCCTTGCACTTCGAAGTCCATCGCATTCCTTATCGGGTGGCCTTGCGGTCTTCTCAGCACATGTCCATACCACCGCAGTCGTTGCTCCCTCACCTTCAGCTGGACAGGGGCAGTCCATGCGTTCTGACATCCTCGTTCCTGACCCTGTCCAGTCGCGTCCAGCCGCAGGCCCATCTCAGCATCCTCATTTCGGCCGAGTGAAGCTGCCTTTCGTGATTCTTCGTTCAGGGCCAGCACTCGCTGCCGTAGA